CGGACTTAATTACTATAGGAACTGGGACTACCCGCCTATCTTCCCCCACTCACTGTAGTCGCACTTCACATTGATCACGTCACACTCCAGCGTCTCCGACAGCTCTTGCCACTTGAGTCTGGAAGGGGCATCAGCGACATTGCTCGGAGAAGGGACTCTGGTGTACCACGAAAGACTGTCGTTTCGAGAGTCCTGAATCATGGCCTCAATCAACATGGTCCTACTTGCTTTCGACTTTGTGCAACCGGTCACAAACGCCTCCTTCACTCCTTCATTATCTATGAAGTACAAGACTCTAGCCCCCTCCAACAGATGGCCCAGGTGACGCTTGCACATCACCACTGGCATCATCTCCGCCTGTGCAATCACCTGTTCGTTCCCGAATGAGTGCCACTCGTCCAAAATCTTCTCGGGGACTTCGAAACCGAAAGCGATGGGCACTGGAATCCGGGGGGATATGATGACCGCTCCACAAGAGGCTACCCCGGCTTCATAGGCTCCATCTGTAAAGACCAGACACGGGATCTCCTTTGCCAGGGCCACCAGCCGCCTAGGCGGAGCAGTCCTGAGCAGTCGTGCAGCCAAGTTCAGGGACTCTGAGATTTCTTTAGTCACTACCTTGACTGTTGCACCCATCAGTGCCCTCTGTTTCACGGGCTCTAGTATCGGGGCCAACCATCTACCACTGCACTGGGCTTCGGCAAAGTTCAGCCTGCCATACACTTTGGCTGCCATCGACGGGGGAAAGGACTTGAGCTTCTTCAGTTCTTCCACCACATTGTCAAGCTCATCTGCCCTCTCCTGTTTGTTTCTCACCATCACCACTCCTTCATTCACTTGCCCTAGGTCGATCACCACCCCTAGCACCACGAACCTTGTCGAGGGAGGCAGTCTCTTTTTGGCTTCCTCCGCGATTCCCCACCCCAAAGTCCTCATCGCCTCCTCCATGACCACCTGGGATCGGACGGCGAGACTTTCAATATCTACATGTGGGAAGTCATCGAAGTAGTTGACCACTGGCATCAACAGGAATCGTTGCAATACCTCCCTGATGGCTCTTGCAGCCCTGTTGAACGCCATAACAGCCCCAGTCGCGCCAAAGGGTAACACACTCGAAACAAAGTACTTCACCTTGTTGTCGTGGGGGTCTAGAACCGCTATCACTGCATTGCTCCTATCTGACGGACTCAGTGCTAGCTGTTTGTACGCTGACTTCAGGTCCAGGCATCTCCCCTGTAGCTTCAGCGGGACCCCTCGGAACTCAGGGGCTTTCTCCCCTTCCAGCACCAACCCCGAAGACAGCTGCACACGAACTTGGTCTTGGCCTCCTCCTCCTACTTTCATCCAGGCAGCGGTCAGCGAGACTACCTCGTCGACCCCACCTAGGTCCAGTTTCTCACCTGGGCCATAGCACTGGTTGATGGAGAACTCACTCAGGTCGTCTATGTTCCTAACTTTGCTACCCTGCACAATGCCGAATCTCCTGCTGGGGGTCCACAACGGTCCAACTCTTTCGTTCACCTGGCTCACCTCGAGGGGGCCTTCGAGCCACCCGAACTTCACCTCCTTGAGCGTCGCCTCCCAAACTTCCTCAGCAATGTCGACCGCTTCCCCTGCCACGTCCACCCGTCTCCGGGCCACGTGAGTAACTTTGTTTCGAACTTCCTGCTGTGCCGACTTTGCTCCCTTCCAAAGGTCCTCCTTGTCCAACATTGGGGGTTTGAACTCAGGCGCAAAACAACCAGTCACTCTACCTTCTCCCGTGATGGACATGCCTTTGCACATATCTTCCACCAGATGCCTGTCTCCATACCCCACGATCTTGAGGAGTTCTTCAAATAAAAGGAGCCTCTTGGGATTCAACACTTCTGCCACCTTCACCTCCAGCGAAGCATGTAGGGCTTCTTCCTTCTCTTCCAGCTGTTTGGCCCTCGCCTTCATCCACCTCAGCCTTTCTACTCTCTCTTGATGAACTGCTTCCGACCCCTTTGTCATAACCTGGAACATGGCATCTAACATGTGATCTTGTACTTGAAAAGCTGTGTCAAATGGGTGTTTCAGGTCACGGGCACGCCTCACCGCTTCCTCCGGGGTCATAGGAATACCCAGAGTCACGATTTTGGCTTGTATGTTCTCCCCGTCCCCGCTCTCTCCCCCTGGTTGGGACGGAACTTGATGTAAAAGTCGGGTCCCGTAGGGAAAAATACGGCCGGCAAGGTGATATTGACGATCAGAACGGCCTCGCCAACGCTCAACGAGTTGGAGCTCACCTGGATCGGTCACTACGACCTCCACTTGTTGCCCGTCCTCGGGCAGCATGGGCACTGCTCGCCTGCCACGGGGTTGTTTCCCGGCAGCAATCTTCCACTGATTGGAGGCCTGAGCGACGAGCGGACTGGCACGGGGTTCTGTCTGGATGGTGTTGTATCCTCGGGCGTGGGCAAGTCTGCTCATAATGACGGCGACTCGCTGGCAAAACACGAGGGGGTACTCTGCTTCAGTGGAGGTGTCAAACTTCCATCCACCAGCCAGACTTTTGCTGATGCCCCATGGTTTGTGTGTATGGGATCCATCACACTTCACTCCCAACTTACATAGTTCCTCACAGTTGTGGAGTAGTGCAGTCTGCTTGTCTCGTGAGCCTCCATGCATGCAGGCGTGGAAACAAGTGAAAAACACTCCAGCGATGTTGAAGAGCTTGGCAATGCTGGGAACCATCCACATGTAACTGTTCTTTGGGTTTTCGATGAAAACGAAGATACCACGCTCGTGACCAGCTATGAACACTTGTGAGGCTGTGTCGTAACATGCGTTTGCCAGCTCGACCCGCTCCAGGTGTACCCCTCTGAGGCCCGGCAATCCGCTGGGGTATTCTGCACTCCTCAAAGGCGGTGGCGAGGGAACACAACGTCTTTGTAACCACTTCGGCACTGGTTTGTCCCTTGCCCTTGATGCGGTTCCGCATGGTGGAGCCATTGGTATAAAGAAGACTCCCCCCTGATCGATCTTGCCCTTGAGGTAGTCGACGCTATTCGGCTTAGATAGATCTAAAACGATGCGCGGTCCTACTCGGTTCTTACACTTCTTGTGGTCAATTCCTACTGCGGAAAATCCATGCAACTTCAAACATTTAGACAACTTGCACGACCCTGCAAACAACTCAAACGTCTGAGGCACTACGCCTCCCACATTTTCACTTCGTCTGTCAGGGCTGTGCCTTGCGGCGAAAAAGCTCTCTGTACACATTTCGGGATCTTCGCGAGGTCTCCTAGCAGCTCCCGATTCCACTGCGGCTTCAGCTGCCACTGCGGCATCATCTGCCCCAGCCTCACCTCATTGGCTTGGGCAATTGACCGCTGCGTGCCCACTCTTCCAGCAGCGCATGCAGATATGCAGGCCTTTGTTGCACTTGCCGTCCTTTGCCTTGCACGTGGTCATGTTGAACCCGTAGCAGATCCTCTCGCCCTGCTTCATCGGCGTGAGGCCCCACAGCTCTTTGGGCATTTTGATCGGCATCTTCTTCGGGGCAGCCGTCTTGTCCTCCTCATAGTGCAACTGCTCCTGCTTCTTCTTCTTCGTCTCCGCCTCCTTCAGGCGCTCCTTGAGCTTCTGATTCTCCTTCATCAACTTCCTCTTGCCAACTCCTGTCGGCTCTGGTTCGACCGGCTGTGGGTCCTTGCTGTCCTTGCCACCACTGCTCCTGCCTCCAGGGAGGGGCAGCAACAACGTGATGAAGGCCGGCTCTGCGATCACTTTCTCCAGGGCGACATCGGCTAGCCTCCTGCCCAAGCCATTGCGCCCCAGATCACCTTGGATCTCCTCACTCATCATCTTCCAGGCTCTGCGATCTGCTGCCGTCAGCTGCCCCAGCGTCACTTGGTTGTAGCCGGCCGGTGGCTCACGCTGGTACTCTTGAAACAATTTGTCCACTAACTTCTCGTGGACGGTGAAGGTCATCACGTCTGCCACTTCCAGTGCCAATCCACGGCGTATGTACGCCTGCCTGAGCCTGAGGTCTGTGCGGGTGTCTGCGTCTGGCACCTTCGTCTCATCATGTGCCCTCAGATGCCCACTTGCATCCCTCTTGATCAGCTCCTCAGTCTTGATGTTCTGCAGCTCCTGGTCTCTTGTCGGGACCTCGTGTGGAGCCAGATACTTCAGCTCGCCCTCCACCCGCATGGAGTGAAACTTGTCCACTACGTGGTGAGCCGGCTCCAGCTGGTCACTGATCTGGAGGTGTCCGTAGTTGGCACGGATCTGGGCCCACCGTGTCTTGCGTTCCACTGGTGGCAACTTCCTTGTCTTGGATCCATCAGCCTCCTGCGTGCCTTCAAGCCGCTGCCTCAGTTCAGCTGCTACCACTGTGT